AATAAAGACCCTCTTGAACTTTCATCGGAATTGGCTCTTGGTGGTCTCTCGGATTAAACTGTCGGCCACTACAAAACAAAACCAATAGTGTAGAATATACAATATGAGATCTATGTGTGTATTCACATACACACACACACACACACACACACACACACACACACACACACACACACAATTCCTCATAGCTGGCCTATGGCATGGAGGAGACCAGAAATTCTTACATGCCTGAGTGAAGAAGCCTGGGATCATGATGAGAGAGAGTGGTGTAGACCTTCATACCAGAGACAATGTGGCAGGGACCATGTAAACCATTAGCATCTGCTGACAGATGACAAAAGGCTAAATGCGACCAGCTATAAGTCAGCAGATTCCCAGGCTAGCTTACAATATCCACAGACCAAGCAGAACAAGACATCTCTGAGAGAACATCAAGGACCAGAGGCCACCCCGCCCTATGTCATGATGCTACCACAAGCTTGCTCCTGAGCCCAGCTACCACCCTGAAAAGGGAGAAAGGTAAAGGCAAGAAGCGAAGAAATCCTGAATAGCTAAGCATTTACCTACAGTAAACTGAGCTTACCTGGAAGGTTTAAAGTCTTAAACCAGAACTCATTTAGTTTGAGTGCTTTTGCCCCCTATAAAGTAGAAATGAAGGTTCATCAGTAAGCTGAGTTCAGATAAGAAGATACTTGTACAGCCTCACTTCCAAATATCTGAGTTATGCTGCATAATCTTTAAACCCACTATACAAGTACAGTAAGTCCCTAATATTATCAATAGGGTCTTGGAAGCTGTAATTTTAAGCAAAATGTCATATAACAAAATCAATTTTATGTCTGAATGTATGAAAAGTAAAGGAAGACATTGAAATGGTGAATCTTGAGACTTGAAAGTCAATGTAAATATCCGATGTAAAATGAAAAAAAACACACACACCAATTTTAACACAGGCTAACTGATATAAACATGATAAACATGAGTTAAGTTACTATGGCATATTCCTAGTCACAAAAACATCATCAAACTTCTAAATAAAGACAAAACATTTCTAATATTAGACATTGAAATAAATCTGAGCTATAGATACATTTAAGACAGATAAATAAAAACAAGTAAGATTATTTATCTGCTAATAAATATCAGGGTCACAGGTGGCCTGGGTCTTTCTCAGCAGCTCGGGGTGCAAGGTGAGAACCAACCCTGGCCAGGACACCATCCTACTGCAGAGTGCAATCACACAGACATCTACAATCACTCACACTGGGACCATGTAGACACACCAGTTAATCTAACATGCACATCTTTGAGATGTAGGAGGAAATCAAAGTGAGAAAACTCATTCAGACACAGGGAGAACATGCAAACTCCACACAGACAGTGGCCCTGGCTAGGAACCAATTTTTTTCTCTTCCTCTCTCCTTTCTTCCTTCCTTTCTTTTAATGCTCCTTTGCTTTTTAAAATCTTTTTCCTATATAAACTGTCATTCTCAGAAACTCCTGTAACTTTTAGCTAAAACTCCCATTCCCTGCCTCCATACTTACTATCACTTATTTCACCATGTCCTCACCTATATGTCCCTTTGTTTGGTGCAACAGCCCTTGCTGCCTGGTTCTCCTGCAGTTTTCATCATGCTCCTTACTGCAATAAGTGCATTTTCCTTGTAATCTTTCCTCATCTTACTCAGTTCCTTTTTCACATCATCCCCTTGTTTTTCATTTTAGTCTACTCTTTCCTCACAGTTTTCTCCTCTGGTTTCACAAATAATATGCATTTTCTATCATATTGAAGGATTCCAATCAGTTTTTAGAAATTAAAGAAAGTACAATTCTCTTGAAAGAGCTTAAAAGAACTCTCTAAGATGAATTCAAATGAGGTAGACAAGTAATAAGGACATGTTGTATATTTCAAAGTTTGTTCTCCACCAACAGAAATAGTCCTTTTTTTTCAAGTGTCCATGGAACACTTACAAAAGTTAATCATATATTAGGTCAATGTTTTCCTTTAGGATATTAATCATATTTTAGGCAAAACAATTCTTTTTGTGGAGCTTCCTTGTATAATTCCTGACCTTTAGCAAACTTGGCCTCTGGCTTAGTGGCATAAACGCCAGTAGTCCCCTATGCTCCCCTGCAGCACATCCTTATGCTAACCAAGAACCAAATGTGTCCTACAATTGAGAACTTCTCTACTTGACTACAAAGAAAATGTCAATAAATTCAAAATATCAAAACCATTTCTAAGGGGAAAGTTTATAGCAATAAATGCCTGCATTATAAAAGAACAAAGATCCCAAAGAAATTGCCTGAAATTATGCCTCAAGGAACTAGAAGGAAAGCAAACTAAACCCAAACTTAGCAGAAGGAAGGAAATAATAAAGATCAGAACAGTAATAAATCAAATACAGAATAGAAAATCCATAAAAAAAATTAATAAAACAAAGAGTTGGTTTTTTTGAAAAAGAAAATAAACAAAATCAACAAAAGCTAGGCTAAGAAAAAAAAGCAAAAACTCAAATATACAAAATCAGAAATAAAAGTGGAGACATTATAACACATGCCTAAGAAATAAAGAGATCATAAGGGACTCTTATGAACAATTATATGTCAATAAATCTGATGACCCAGAGGAAATAAATAAATTCCTAGAAAAATACAAACCACCAGATTGAATCAGGAAGAAATAGAAAGCCTAAACAGACCA